CCACCTCCAGAAAAGGTGGCAAGCAAACCAGCTCAAGAAAAAGTACAAGATAAACCCAAGACGCCAGGCAAAACTATTTATAAAGATGAAGAAGCGGCTAAAGCTGCACTTGCAGAGAGACGTAGACTAGTGAAAGAACAAGCAGAGAGAGAAGCTGAAGCAGAAAGACTGAGACAAGAAGAATTAAGGTATGGTCCAAAAATGAAAGGCACTACACATTTATTTGTAAAATTTAATTCATTTAAGTATAAAACAGCTGGTATAATTTTAAAGTGTAAATGTTTCAGTTTATTTACTGAAGATGTACTTCACATAGATCTATATCAAGCATTGCACATTCGAGTCTTATCAGATCTAACTTTAAAGTCAAATATTTAATATACATTCATAATTTCCTCTGTGTCAGGCGTCAAGAAGAAGAAAGAATACGACAAGAAGAGGAAGAGCAGAGAAGATTGGAGGAGGAAGCTATAAGATTAGCAGAGGAACATAGAAAGGCAGAAGAAGAAAGGCTACAAAAGGCTATAGAAGAAAAGGAGAGACGCGATAGAGAAGAAAAGGAAAGAGCTGAAGAAGAAGCAAGACAGGTGTGTTTACTGTCTATCAGTGGAGCCACTCCAGTAAAATAGAATTCATTGTGCGGAGTAGGGTTTTGCCAGTATATTTTTAATGTGTGTTTACTGAGTGAAAATTTTAATTTTTTGTTCAAACAATTCTTTATTGTGCAGGTGCTGTTCATTTCAAAAAAGTCAGTTTGTTTCAGTATAAGATTAGCATAAATACAGCTCATGGCCATCTAATTAGTTACTCTTGTAACAGATCATATTTACTTACTATGACAAGATTGAGATATCACACCCTACCCTACCACTACCCTACCCCCTACCCCACCCCCACCCCCACCCCTACCCTTACATTTACTCACCTTCATCATCCTTCCCCTTTACTTGCACTGTATAATACTGGAATATACTGCAGATCAGAGAGCATAAGGTACGTGTCCATCTGCCAAATACAGGGAATGTGCATGACCATTTATAGCTACAAGTTATTAACCTAGCTCTACAGTGCACTGTACAGTTAATACATAGTAGTTAATTGAGAATGTGTCAACTAAATGATGACTGTATACTGTACTTAATACATAGTAGTTAATTGAGAATGTGTCAACTAAATGATGACTGTATACTGTACAGTTAATACATAGTAGTTAATTGAGAATGTGTCAACTAAATGATGACTGTATACTGTAGAGTAAAATATAGAAGCCAGCTTGTCATTATATGATTCATCAAAATTTAGATCATTACTGCATGCTGCATCAGTGTTGTCAGCAATCATACAGAACATGGAAAATTTTTAGTACTGATTTTCTTGTTTGTTTGTTTTTTGTGGGGGGGGGGGGTAATTACATTTTTGTGCTAGGATACATTTTTGGACATTGAAGTCACTGCTATCACATTGCATCACATGTAAAGTAACACACATTGCATCACATGTAAAGTGACATGCATTGCATCACATGTAAAGTGATTGTCAGCAATTGTCAGCAATCACACAGAACATGAACAAATTTTAGTACTGATTTTCTTGTTTTTTTGGGGGGGGGGGTAAATACATTTTTGTGCTAGGATACATTTTTGGACATTGAAGTCACTGCTATCACATTGCATCACATGTAAAGTGACATGCATTGCATCACATGTAAAGTGACATGCATTGCATCACATGTAAAGTGACATGCATTGCATCACATGTAAAGTGACATGCATTGCATCACATGTAAAGTGACATGCATTGCATCACATGTAAAGTGACATGCATTGCATCACATGTAAAGTGACATGCATTGCATCACATGTAAAGTGACATGCATTGCATCACATGTAAAGTGACATGCATTGCATCACTTGTAAAGTGACATGCATTGCATCACATGTAAAGTGACATGCATTGCATCACATTTAAAGTGACATTTATTGCATCACATGTAAAATGACATGCATTGCATCACATTTAAAGTGACATGCATTGCATCACATCTAATAAAAACAGTTCTATTTAGTATTGTTCTCTGCAACAAAGTGCATTTCATATTGCTGAATGCAAGTTATGTTGTGTTGGAAAAGTCAAATAATTGCCACCAATTTGAATATAATTGAAATTAAGTTGGTGCTGATAATTTTATTGATCTTGATTTAAATTGTTTATATTTCAGAAAGAGGAAGCTGAGAGGAAAGCCAAAGAGGAAGCAGAGAAACGTCAGAAGGAAATGGAAGAAAAATTAAAACGTGAGGAAGAAGAAAGAGAAGCCAGAAGAAAGGTGAGACGAATTTTTCCCTTTCAAACAAAACAAATAGTGTAGGCGCTTTTAATACTATACAATTGTATTTTATTTGTTGGTGTTTGAGGGCGCTCTTTATGTTGCTTTTACAACAGTAATGTAATGTGATGTTCATGATCAGTGTTCATTTAAAAATTTTCTTTTTCTTACCATTAATGTTGACTATTCAATAATTTATTACTCTTGTGCATTCATTTATCATTTGAACTTTCGAATGCCAAAGTCAACTTTTTTCACCATTCACAAGACAAACTCTCTGCCAAGGTGGTTATGTTATGATTACTGCTGGTTTGACATTTTATTGGAGGTTCATTCATGCCAAAGAGGGAGCACATTTCTATCCTAAAGAGGGAGCACATTTCTACCCTACAACACTATAAACGTACTGTGCATTTCACAGGTCATTTGTGTGACTCAATAGTCAGAATAGTAAAAAAAAACAGAATAGCGAAATTACCTGTCAGGTATCCTTTTGAACGAACAATAAGATTTTTAGCATTTTCGCAAGTTTTAACTTCTTGCTACCTTAAAGGTCCCAATGAAATGTTCACTGCCACAAAAGTCATGGTGACTTGCTTTCTTAAAGGTCCCAATGAAATGTTCACTGCCACAAAAGTCATGGTGACTTGCTTTCTTAAAGGTCCCAATGAAATGTTCACTGCCACAAAAGTCATGGTGACTTGCTACCTTAAAGGTCCCAATGTTCACTGCCACAAAAGTCACTGTGACTCACTTTCTTAATGGACCCAATGTTCACTGCCACAAAAGTCACTGTGACTCACTTTTTTAAAGGTCTCAATGTT